GGAAAGGCAGAGAGAGTGGAAGTCAGTATACAATACAGAAAATCTGAGGAGGTTAAGAGGGGCAGGAGAAGGAGGGGCTGGGGGCACGGAAAATGAGAGATTCCTGGTTAGCATAAATAATATACATATATGTTCAGGAGGAAGAATGAGGGCAGTTTGGAAATGTAAACAAAAATATCTTCAGAGGAGGTAGGGCTTTAACATAGCAAATGGTGAAAAGATCAATGGGAATAAAAGACAAAGAGATGTACAAGTCAAAGACAGCTAGAAATAAAAGACACTGAGAATAAAAAATTGTGATGAGACTGAGACATAAAATCCATCTGTAGAACAGCTTGGACTGGGACATGTATAACACCCTTCACAATGCAGGATTACCTCAAATGTAACAGAAAAAGTTTATTATTATTACTCAGGGTAATAACAGGCTTTGCATATCAAATTATGAAATAGCATTTTCTCTTGAAAGGCAAGATTACAGAAATTTTTAACAGAAAATCACTGTTGGGTCTTTAAGACCATGCTACATGTTACTTGGAAAGCTGACACACATGGACTAGAGAAAGGTGGCTCCAGTCACCTGCCTCAGCCAGGCTGTGCTCAGCCTCTCAGAGACAAGGCAGTTGTGGTCAATATTTGAACGTACAGGCAGAGCTCAGGGCACAACCACACCAAGAAATCTGAGGGTTCAAAAAAACTTTCCACCTGCTTTGGAGGCCATAACCTTGTGAAGTCATCAACTACTTTAGAAGGACTCTTTGAACAGAAGTTCTCATCTGGTGGTAGTGGAAGAGAGTTCATCTCACAGTTGCATTTAACTATGCAGTAAAGCTATGCATTGGGACACAAACTCCTTGGGACAGGAGCAAGAACACAGACTGTAATCCTGGAACAAATAATTTACTGCAAATTCACACCTACCTTAGTGTAAGAAGAATTTCTCAGTATCTCAGCTTCTTTCTTAGAATGTCTCACATTTGAATGATAAAATATTACACACTAAGTCATAAAATGGACTTATAAAACAATGTGTCAAGCTAACAAAGAGCACTTTTTTGCCACCTTTTTTTAACATGGTTAAAACAGTTTTAACTATCTTATTAAACTACTAATTGCTTAATCGTTGCAATTATTAATCACTTGCTTGAACAGCATAATAATAGGAACATTCCCTTGAAGAACCTCACAATTTTCACTTGTGATATACAAACTTCCTTCACAGTCTCATTAATTTTTTGACTCTCCAACTGTTTTCTTGTAGTTTACAAGAAAACACATTCTAGAGTTTAAAGAGGAAAAGATTTCTAGTCTGGAATTGAGTCAGCCTAATTTTTTTTTCTCTCCTTAGCTTTCTGTTCAGATGTGCCAGCAGAGAACTGTATGTCTAAGAGACTCCTAGAAAAGGAACAAAGAAGTGTGAAGATCACAGAGCAGACAGCTTTTTATTTGTCATTCACTCTGAACTAGAAAGAAAAGGGTACCAGGCCAAAAGTCCTTCCATTAGTTATTTAAAGTGACCAATCCTAATTGATCTATCAACAGTTTCTAATGCATGCTGAATATATCACTCAACATTTACAGCCCAAACTGTTGACTGAGCTTCATCCATATTCATAAAGACAAACGAGCCTACCTGTTACTGCAAAAAGTAATGCTGATGTGGTAATAAAAATACACAAAAACATTAGCATTTTTTGGAGCATCCACAGAGACAACTTCAGAAAAGTATTTTTATAACAACAGCTTTATTTCAAGCACTGCTTTTTACTGGATACAATTTATACATTTTGTGCTAAGTATATATATATATTAATGGAACACTTTCAGAATTATCCCTAGATAAAATATATTACGTGCTTAAAATTATTCCAGCAATACCTTCTCCAAATTACATTTTGCTGAGCGTCAGTTAGGTAACAGGAAGAAAAAAAAGAGATGAAAATTTTAAAAATGCTTTGGCAAAATACCCTTCCACGATGATGTCTTTAAAAGCATTTTGAATGCAGGGATTCTTCACCCATTTTTATTCTGGCATCAGTCAAACAGACAGGAGGAAACATAAACACAGTTATACAGTTCTATTTAAATATAATTTAAGATAATATAGATCTTAACTTTTCAAAACATGAGGTCTCCTGTTCGAATTTCAGCCAGTCACAAAACTTGCCTTCTGCTCTTAACGGACAATGGTGTGACATGTTTTCGAAACCTCTAATCGCATTGTTGCACAGGTCACTGTTAAAACAAAGATCCTGGTAATCCCAGAGCCTATGTCAAGGCAGGAGGACTGCAAAGGTATCAAACCAGATTATGGTCAGCATGGTCATTGCACTGCACACATTGAGCTTCTAGGAGGATTAACGGTTCTCGTCACGGGCTCCTGACTGTAGTTGACAATATCTGCCCTCACCACCCTCTGTCATAAAAGAAAACATAGCAACAGTCAGAAAACTCAATCTTCATACTGGCAAAACATTCAACAACATTTTATTTTGCAACATTCAATTCAGCAACATTTCATTTTGCTATGAAATATGAAGGGAAAAATAATAGACAAAATAGGTTTCTTTCATTACTGTAGAGAAAGTCTTATCAGGTGCTAGTTCTCGTTCTAATTATCAATTTATCCACACTAAGCAGAAGCAAATGCCTTCGTAGATTTTCACAACACTTCAAATGGAACATGACCCTTTTGCTAAAGCAATGAATACAGCTCTACTTCCATGGAAATTGTTTCATATGAAAAGAATAAAACAGTATTTGCTTACAAAGACTGTGCAACTCATTCTTTGAAGAGTAACTGCCTAAATTGTACTTGGAAACTGTACTTAAGTTTGTTTTTTTGTCTTTACTCCAACTGCTTCACCAAAAAATACAGACAGAACTCAAAGCAAATTTCAAATACAACGATATTTCAAAGAAGCTTTGATAGGCATACTGGCTAAAGTCTAAATTAGCATAAAAAGAAGCTTTGCATACCATAAGTATTTATTTTCCAATACAGATCCAACAGATATTACCCAATCTATTTACAAAGCTTTTGATAAGACTGATGGTCTCTCCTGTATGAGGAGAAGAAATGAGATTACAACTTTCTGTCCATTTCCCTCTGAGGCAACTATGTAATATTTTGACTGTACAGCACTGAATACAGTAACATGAGGTATTTCAAAGTTCCTATGAATCATCTGGTTATTAGAAACACTATGTAATTAATTGTACACAGAGCTCCAAATTAGTATGTTAGGCATTACAAGTCCTGACAGATAAAAAAATATTATTTTCCAATAGAACTTACTGTAACAGTTGTTACATCATGTAAAAGCAATGCAGCTTATAAAATAACCCCCAAGTTTTCCATCAATACCTGAACTACTGCATTGAGCAGATTTTGCTCTGGCAGTTGGAAGTGTTGTGTTGTTGGTTATCTTCTTCAGGATATTTCACTAGTTCTGCCCTGACAACATGCTGTTAACCATGGATCAACATGATGGATAGAGGGCAAGGAGAAGAATGTAAAAAGAAAAGAGAAGGAAAACAATGGAGAGATTAATCAGTAGCTGAAAAGAATGAATGAATAACATAAGACTATGCAGAAGCAAAATGAAAGTGCATTTTCAGGCCTTAGGCTGATACAAGAGCAACATGTTTGGCTGGAAGCATCTCTATCAGCATCAGGGCTGCTTCTCAAGCTTCTTTGAGGACATGCCCTTCCAAAGCACCGAAGTGAAAGGTTCATACATGCAATCAACTAAAGTGTATTAAAGCAAGAGAAAGGACAGAATAAAAAGGCAGGCAACTCAGTGGAAGAAAAGATGACAATGGCCCATTCCTTCCTTAATTCTAAAATACTTAAATATTACATTATCAGCTTGTAACAAGTGCATTAGCTGTACACAAGTATCTTTTCCATTCCATAATTATCACATTACACCTATATACATAATCCAAAACCAATGACAAATTAACAACCTCACATCAAAATGCTGCAAGCTTTGATTTTTCTTTATATAAAAGGTTCTCATTTTTTCCCCTTAGAAACAAACAAAACTGCTAGAAGTTCTCATTATTAATACAGTGTTCATGCAAAGGGAAGAAAAATTCATGGAACAATATCAGCAAGGAGATAAGTCTGCTATGAAAGATTCTCTAAAGCAGTGAATTTTTTTCTTAGATACTTCAACTTTCATTTGCAAGATTAAAATGAATGGATAAATGAATAATACTACTCTTTTAAAGGAAACAATACATAAACTGAATTATATAAATATATGAACAGTATATGTTAAAGATTACTTCTGTAAATAAAACCTCTATGTCAAGCAAGCACAATAACTGAATTGGCTGGTAAGGGACCTGGATTTATTAGCTGCTGAAGTACTCTTCTTGAGTTTAATTGATCACATTCATATTATCTTATCTAGTGGACAACACTCATGATTTACTGGACTCCTGGCCTGATGTTATCAAGGGAAAGGTTGCCAAATCCCATGTAAGGCTGTAGCAGGAGTTTTAGCACTAAACAGCATTATCTGACCTTACAGGACCTAGTTTCTTCATACCAATCTTTTGACTAGAGCTAAGGAGAACAAAAAAAAAAAGTCTTGCAATCAGTAGGCAATTAATTGTTCCTCAAAACACTGGTCTAAATCCCATCCTGTAAACACAGGCAGGTTAGTGACCTATGCTTAGGCACGTTGTAGCAAGCAACTGACTATCATAAATGACTTGGATTTTCTAAAGGAATTTCTTCCAAATAAGAGAAAAAAAATAGCACTGCAGTATTTCTTTTATTAACTTCATGGTAATTAAAAACTTGGGCCTCTTTGCATTGGTTTCTATGTCAGGCGTATCATTGCCACGGCTCAAATCAGTGTCAATACCTTTTTGGTGCAGGTGTTCTGTATTCCATATCTGACTTATCTGCCAAACATTTTATTGTACAAAGCTGGTGCACACACACTGGTTTGCTGAACTGGCATTTAGTTAGAGAGAAAACTACACATCACTTACAAAAATGCTATCTCCTGCCAATGCCAAGGAACAAAGCTGTACCCCATGCAGTTTTTACACTACAGTTGAAAGCAAAAAATACAGAAAGAAAAAGATTTGATTAGTAAAGGAGCTGTTTCCTTAAATTTCATCAGACCCTTGCAATTTAAAAGGGAGAGTATTTTGAGGACTGAAAATAAGTCAGAATCTGCAATTTTCTTACTTTGGAACTGTTCCATTCCAAAAACATGCTCTGCTTTCCAGTCACGCATAAAGGGTAATCTAGTTCTTTGTTTCACCACAGTTTTGTCCAAATAAAGGTTTGATTAACAGTCATCTCAGCATGTTAACAGACAAGGTTTAGTAGCTCTAGCTGAGATAGTTTAAAAACTTACCACCCTCAAATGTCTGTCCTATTCCTCTGCTGGAGATCCTTGCTGCCAAAGGAGAGCTGGTGGAATGCAATGTGTACTTGCACCTCATCCGCTTCAGCACAAAGTCTGGCAGCTTTGCTTAAAAACAACTTGCAGCAGCAGTTTAAGCTAAGCTGCTCAACTTCACCCTGATGTGGCCAACGCACATGATCACCTTCCATTTTCTGATTCTGCTGTGGGAGTGATAAATTCCAGCAAAAGGGCAGTAACAAATAGCTTGGGTTGCATTAGTATCTTAAACTGCTGCAGCTGTTTTCTAAAACAATGCAGGGTAAATATAATTCCATTTCTAAGGCTTGCTCTTGCAGACACTTAACAGAAGTTGTGCTGCTAACCTGAAGGGGACCAAGAATCCCACCAACTTTTCACAAGAGCTCTTGCAGTTCTACCAGTCATCAAAGCTCACAAGTTATGAGTCAAAACCCCACAAATTCATACAAGTTAAAATAATGTGTTTGGAATTCCTATTCCTTATTTAACCACCTATGAGTCATGTCTAAGATCTTCCTAGTGACTGTTACAAATATAATGGATTCTAAACACAAGAAACATGATCTTCAGGCATAAAATCAAGAGTGCTAGAAATAATTTTTGAAGCATATTCACGATACTAGACAATACTTCACATATAGCATTTAACTGTTGGCATTTTACACAAACTCAGCATTTCATCTTATACTTTGTTACCACAGACTGAATGGACATAGCTGAGTCCTCTGACAAACATATTCAAGCAGCAACATTCTCAGTTTTCAAAATGAGGAAATCTCACATTACACAAAATACAGAAAGTTCAAATATATAACCCAGCACGTAAATAGTCCATGTTTGTAAAAACTACATCATTTACTCTTTATTTAAAGATTAAATCCAAGTCAACACTTGCATACTTTAAGGATAAGTCACACTTACAATTGTGTTGGTTTTATTTGACTGATTTATCTAGCATTTATCTAGATAAATGCTAGCATTTATCTAGCATCCATCTACCTATCTATTTTAACAGTCCAGTAGCTAGAGTGGTTAAAGATGTTCAGGAACACAGTCACACAATTGTTCCACAACTAAAGGAAGTTCTGTGCCCATTTAATAGATGGAAGAGGGAGAAAAACCGATCCCCATCACCACACTGAGGGGACCTGTACCTGTCATACAAGAGCCTGCAGTAAACCAGAGTCCTAGTAATGGCAATACCATCTAACACCACCTCCTTCCAGCCCAGACACCAGCTCCATTCCTTTTGGAAACAGCACCAACACATTACTTCAGTTAGGCTTTTCTACTACAGAATAATGAATTTTTCTCAAGACACGTCCTTCTCATCATCTCCCTGAGGATATGAAGGTTAAAGTTTTCCTTCTCCAGTTTTATGTAGAGACTTCCCCTTTTCCATCTGAAGAAGTGATGTGGGTATTTGGTTCCATAAAACAATGAGCCTTAAGTTACAGTTAATAGACACACACTCCAATACAATTCCCATTGGTTTCTGACTTAAACTGGAGAAATTCTTACTGCCCCCTTAAAACAGCACTCTCAAAGGAAGCAAACATTTTACTAGTAACAAAGAGCTACTGCTTGTTTCAAGTAGATTGAAATTATGCTCCATTAACTGTACTTTGCAAGTCAGACAGCTGCTTTCCAGCTATCAGTCTTTAGCTACATGTACAGTATTGCACCACACAGTGACTTCTGCTGTACCTGAGAGGCAACAGTGAAGTTTCTTTTCTGTCCAAATCTATTTACTGGCTTTGTTTCTTCTTAGTTGCTGCTGTTGTTGCTCTTGGTTTTTCAGGGATATTTTTACCTTGTTACTAAAGCCTGGATTCACATTAACTGTAATGTGTGTGCCACAGTGAGTATTTAATTTATGCACATTAACTATTTATAGGCTATTGCTAATGCAACTTGTGATATCCATGATCCACATATTGCATATTCCATTGATCTGTTCAACAAAATTAAAAACTAATTACAAAACTAAGGTAGAAGGAAGACTATTTAAAGCTGATATAAATTTGACATAAGAAGTTATGTACTCTCAGTTAGGGGCTATGTAGAGCTTCTTACTTTAAAAACAACCCAAAACCAGACACTTCCTTTAGAAAGCTATAACTTTCTGTATTACCTCTTTTACCATAATCTCCCTTAAATTTAAGGTATTTGCATGCCTTTCTACAATCTTACACCTGAGTTACAGAAGACAACAACACACAGCACAGAGAGGTCTAAGACTGATACTCCAGTATGGCTAAACAACCAAAGTAAAATTAAAGAACCCTATGTGCTCAATTATTTATATTCAAATAATCACAGAGCTCAGAACATTAGATGGATGGTACCTTACCAGATCAGTGAAAAGACACACTCAATATTTCTCTACCTAGAAATTATAGCTTTTTTTGAGCTGCTTTGCTTGTTGGATATGCTCTATAAGTATATTTTACAATTTTACTGTTTGCAATACAGTTTTCTAGTTAACCACTTCAACACAGATTGCAAACACTGCTGTGGCAAAACACTTTCACAAATTACATATTTATTGTATATTTCAAACAGCAGGAGACCAAGTTGTACATAAGAAATGTTTTGCCTTTAAATTTAAATAAACTTATTGACTTATTTTGTGGCACTTGTTTAATACTGGTAGTAACTACCAGTTCCAGGACATTACACCACTAGAAGAGCAACCTTTTGGTTCAATAAGTAAACTTAAGTAATTGTAATCTCAAAGTCATTATACAGGGTTGCCTCAGTTGCTTCTGAGGTTTTTGAAACAGGGTTTGTAGAAAAATGTTTTGGTTTAAATCCATACACAGAGTCTTACTGGCAGAAACATTATTTTTAGAAGCAGGAACTAGGAAGAAGAAGATGACAAAGAAAAAGAGGTTATATTAGAAAACCTCTTGCTTGCTTATTTGAACAATTATCACATTTTTATTGGACTATATATTAGTATACTAATTTGCCATGAGAATATATTTTTCAGCAGTAAATACTACAAAAAATCATGTATTTGTGGAAAATCACCTGTGATTGTTCCAATTCTGCTTTGTTTAATTTGATGCCGAGTATGTCAGCAGCGATTCTCTGAAAACACAGGAAGACCTATGGAAAAAGATTGAATTGCATTTAAATGATTAAAAACAGACATCCTTGAGGTTCTTTCAAATATATCAAAGAATTCTTGAACCGTAAACAATGAGATATACAAAATTATGACCCGTGCAAAACAGATCTGAACATAATCGCATCTGGGACTTCCAATTTTGTTTAAAAATTTGAGAAAATAACTCAACAATGGTCCAAGGAATGAACAGTATGCTGGATTGTTAAGCAACACTTCTACTCTGCCTCCAGAGACCTAAGTTTAAACAAGCTTTTACACAACCCACCTCTCAAATACTACTCTCAGTGCTATAAAATATGAATAAGGGTATTCACTAAACTTGGGCACAAAAATATATTACCAGTGTATTGTGCAACAGAGATGCAGGTTTCTGAAAGTGAGAACAACAGAACTCTGCATCAACATCACCAAAATCTCTACTGCACGTGTTTGAAAAAACAGCAGTTGAGTTCTGAAGAGTCTTACAAAACATTATATACTGAACAGAAGTACCTAGGAACAAACAGGATGCTATATGGCTTGCAGCAGCAGCCTGGCAGAGTTAGACTTTGGACATGGCTTGACACAGAATACTGCATGGCAATGCTATCTTAAATAACTCCTTTAATTCACCTCAATCCAGTCCACCTATCTTACTGTTTGGGCAGCTGCATTTTAAATGAGATTAAAGACCACAACAGATATTCAAGATAAGCAGTTTAAGCTTGCACTGCTGCTGGGCACTGTATTGTCAAGCTACAGGTTATATTTTATCTACAGGGCTATTTGGCTGAGCTCACAACCTAAACTACTAACAAACACTGTTTCACAATTTTTTGCCACCTGCAAAAGGTAAGGCCTGGTAAGGACTTTCTGTCATTGTCAGTGAAAAATCAGAAAAATACCATTTACACAAATCTCTTCTTACACCTGAGATGGAAACCAGTGACAAATCAGTGGCACAACCAACAGCCCATGGTAACTTCCAGAACAACTGCTCTTTCTCTGAACTACTTGGCCTAGTAGTGGTCTGTTCTACTCGCACCCACACAACAAGAAAGGAAACACTGCCTAGAGATTCTGAGGTCCAGAGACATACTTTAACTCACACCAAGCTCTCAGGTGTTCTGAGCTACATCCCCTGCCACGAGGACAGTTTGGGCACAAAACCAGGCATAAGTTCAGTGCTTTAGTTATGCAGTTTGATGGACGTTAAGATAGTTAGCTATACTAAATCTTTCATTTATCTTAACTGACTAAGACTCCTCCAGTCTATACTCACAGTAGCAATGGACAACCTCTTCTTAAATCTCTGTCTAGGATAAACACCTTGTCTTTCCCTCCAACTACTGAAATACATGAAGATTTTGAAATGTCAGTGTGCAGTAACAGTGAAAGGGCTAATTCAAATGTATGCTGAAACTAAATTTACATTGAAACTAAAGATGAACCTTTACAAACCTCTTGTGCTAGTAGAAATTTAGGCAGAGATTTCTGGTTTATGTTTTCTACGTGTGTTCAGATTTACATTTCTTTTTAAACAGTAAGTTATGAAAAGTGCAACCAGTATATATAGTAGAATGCTGTTGTACTTCATTAATCAATAAAAAGATGCAATAAAGATTCCTTCAGAATTTGTAATGATAAATATATCACCCTTATAAAATGAACTGACTTTTATTACCAAATCCCACAAAAATGTTTTCTTGAGAAAAGAATACATTTTATCAGATGATCATTTCACTGGGTGAAGTATCACAAATTTTTCCTTCTGTTTCTAGCATAAAGAGCCTGAATTTTCATACTTTAAACCAAAAAATGTGCCAAAGATTTAACACAACTTACAAAGAGAATCAGAACTCATCGCATTTGTAACAGCAGTGTTGTCAGACTTTACAGAAAAACTATTATTTTATAAAATTAGGCACTCCACTGCAGAAATTTCATCAAAGACCTTAAAACAACAAGTGATTCCATTTGTGTTAGAGAATAATGCTGCCATGAAATTGAACATGATCTTACTGTTCAGTAACACAAAGATAAATTTTCTTGTCAGCAGTAACATAAGGAGACAGATACAAGAGTTTTTCATGAGAATGACAAAGTCATTAGGCATGTGACAGAAATCAAGCAAAACAATACAATGTGATTTAATTTGACTGATAGTGTCAACTGAAAATGAACCTTTTCTTTCATACGCTTCCAACTAAAACAAATAACCCAGTTAGCTCAGAGTCAAAAAATTGTTCAAAAATGTACTCTGCAAAGCATCTGGTACAAATGCCAGAATGGTCAAATTTCAATGGCCCTGCAGAGTCTCTCATGGCTCAGGACTTGTATTAAAAACTGAGATTGCAATAGGAACTTGTGACATTATTTATCAATCGCTGAAAGTTTCTGTATTGATGGTTTATAGATCGGACTCCACCTGGAATGAAGGAATACATTTAACTACAGGCTGACAGCAAACAGACATTTAGCTGGTCTCAGTTCTCATGCTGATGTATAAGCTAGACCATTTCCATTAAAATCTGTAACCTCAAACTGAAAATCAGATGAGAAGTCAATGGAATTCAATAATGATAGCATACACCCATACAAAGGTAGGCAAAAGACCTGCAGCAGTCCAAGTTCTCAAAGGTTTGTTATGTGAAGTACAATAAAACTGCTGCACCTTAAATAAAAATACAGACAACTACAAACTTCAGGGTCTTTTCTTACTTACAGAATCTCCTGTCTTGGCTGACACGAAATGGCTGCTGAAATTGTTTTCCTGACAAAATCGCTGGTGCTTGTCAGCTTTGACCGTGCGCATGTGCTCCAAGTCAACTGAAAATGTTGAAAAAAGGAAAAGTTATTACACTGGAGTACATTTAGTTACCCATCTTAGAAATTATTCATTGGAAACACATCAGATGTAATCTTTTCCTTTATAGGTGTATGTAAATGCAAGATTCCTTGTTTTTATAATAAATTGCCCAAATAAAAGTAATGAACTATATCAGGTTCATTTTATTTGCAAAACTTAAATGAAACCACAGTTAAAATTGTATGGTCAAATGCAATAAATTTACATCTCAAAAAAAGGACAAGTTTATTTCTGGATACATTAATACAATCTGTAACAACTTTACTGCTAACTACATACAAAAATGAGACAGAAGTAAACACTGCATATTGTGTTTGCAAGCAAAATTCATATTAGGGATTCCAGTGTAACCTAAAGACTTCTACAAAATAAGTTCACCCAGTACCTCTGAATCAACATATTTTTCCAAAGTAAAAAATGTAAATTACTTATAAAGAACTTTATTGCAGAAAGTGGCAAAGCAAAAACATTCACTAGAATAAAAAAAATTAACTGAGTAAAACCAGTGATGCTTCATTACTTATATATGAAGCTTTTGATTCCACAAAGGTATGGTTCAGAAGGTTGAAAAAAGTAACATGCACATTTCAAGACACACACACACATTCTCATTTTTATCATTTTATAACCATTGGAAGCAGAGCAAAGCTTTCAAATGGTACTTTATGTTGAAAAGCACTGGTTGGTTCCAAAACCTCATGGAACTCAAGTCTTGCACAAGTTTTATTGTGTACATTCCAGTTTCTCCAAATCTGATCCTAAGGTAACTGGAAACTATATTGGACAGTTTCTCTTTTTTTACTGCATTACGGTTCCTATAAGGGTGTTGACTCAATGCAGTCAAATTATAAGGCAAATATATTCAGAAGGATTTAAGGACAACCAGGCTCTTTGAGTCAATACAGGAAAAAAAACCTTAAACTGATTTCCTGAGGAAGGGACCCAACTGACTTGTAAAAACTTGTAAATTTGCAAATCTAGTAAGCCTGTATAATAGTGTCATTTGATTATCAGCTGAAAAAATGCTCTCCTACTACATAAAAGGCTTTATTTTTAAATGATATTGGAGGTCTTTAATTTGTAGGCTCTGGAGATTTTCTCTTGGAGATTTTAGTCTAACAGGGGATTCCTACACCCCATTTATACTGCTTACCTTGGTTAATGGGGAGGTTTTGCCACATATTACTGTTCCTTGTACATCAGTAAGGCCTTGTTTGTAAGAACAGGCCTAAAATCATCCAGTTACCACAGGCATTAATTTGTAACGGACTAAAATGCAAAGCTATTAACACTAATGTTTGCAGTGCAGCGTTTCAATAACACTAAACATCAACCATATAATTTCATAAAATGTCAGAAGAACAAATACATTTGCTAAAATAAAACCCAAAGTCCACAGCAATTTTGTTACAAACTCATGCAGTCACTTAACATTTTTCTCTGAACACTAACTACGAGAGCCTCTTTTGAAATGCTTTTAAGAATAAAATACTGCATGCTGCCTAAAACACATCGTTATTAACTATTATTTTTACGCTTCACATATTAGCAGCTTGAAAAACACAACAGTGAGATTACTCTTTTGGGAGTAGTAAATATATATTTTCTTTGTTTGATGAACTTTTAAAGGAACTTTAACCCCAGCTCCAAATTTCACGCGTTGTATTTCTCTGACTCTATCTGAAATCCAAAAACCTACACATGATTACAATAAAGATAGATAGATAAATAGATAGATAGATAAATAGATAGATAGATAGATAACATTTACACTACAGTCCTCTCAAATACCATGATATGCTTACATAAGTCCATAAAGACAAGCTCACAAGTTACCAACTCTCTCAAACTCTCTTTCCCAGGAAGGAAAGAATAGAGAGAGGACAAAGACAACAGCAGGCTAAAAGCTAAAGGAATTTTGAGGAAGAAAATGCCACTGCTATATTAGAAATCATATCCTCAAACGTCTCCTATTTTCTACGAGGAAACAAGAAGAACAAAATATGGTCAGGAGAGCATATACTTTACTACAGCAGAGAAACTAAGCACACAAGATCATAGAAACTAAGACTGAAAGTGAAAAATCAAGGTGAACTTATTTATCTGAATTTTGTGTACTTCTCATTCCTTCTCCCCATTAACCAGGATTTCCCCTTATGCTTTCTGAATTCCAAGCAGTCTGCTGTGAACTGCAGTTACTGTTATGCCAGGTGACTGTCCATGTGTGCACTCACAGCCCACAGGAAATGGGAGGCAATTCATGTTACATTAGTTCTCAATGAAGAAGGACACAGTTTTGTACAAGAGTTTCAAGTGTTAATAAATACTTAACTATACAAAATTGCAGTTGCAGTCAATGAAGAACAACTATCCAAACTCCAATTCCTTTGCATCATCCACAGGCCAAGGGCACAACCATACAGTTATTGAAGATCAGCTAAAATACAGTGAATAGTTACCCTCCAGTCCTTTTTTTTGAACATCTGATGTTGGTCAGCTTGACAGGCAGAATTCTTAGCACACCAGGAGATATGTCTTGTCCAGCTTATATTTAGACATGACAGCAAAAAGACTTGAAGGAAAGATTTGGAGGAGAAAAATGATTTTCTAAAAAGATGTTTATAAGGAATGCAGTGACTTTACAGAAAGAAAACTAACAGCTGACCCATGTGGACTCATATGATGAGCCAATTAACAGCAGGAACAGATATCTTGGGATGAAGGATGATAACAGAATGCACTTGAGCCATGAAAAGTTTAAAGGCAAAGACAAATAAGTTTTGGATTGAAAGAAAGCGAATCAGATACATAAACACAATTTGATTTTACAAACGAGAAAAATGATCTTGCAGAATATTCTAAATGACTAGATAACATAGCATTGGCCAAGAAAAAGGAATTATTGCAATTATGATACAAAATGAGAACATTTTCACAGTGGTAATGGCCATGATAGGCCATATCTAACAAAGGTCTCAAAGAAAGAATCTGCAAGATTTGGCCACACATCAAACACAACCATTTAGAGAAAGGCCCAAAGTGAAGTTTATGTGCCAGATGGTACAGTCACCCTCTTCATCTGAAGGGAATGAGAAAGAAGGCAATGGCAGGGGGAAATTAATAGCCTCATTTTTACCAAGTAGAATATAAACTGATGGCTACAAATTCACAATGGGAGGTATAATGGAGACACAAGGACACAAGACACAAGTCTGAAAAGTGAAAAGAGGTTTAACTATTTGCAGACTGTGAATATCTACAGCACACAAATGTCAAGTGCTTGAATACAAATTCTGGTATCCACATTAATAATGTTTTCTGATCATGAGAAGCTAAAGCAAGCCCAAGATGTGTCAGCTTTGGAGAATGCAGTGAAGGTACAGTTAAAGTATAACCTACAAAGCAATAGTTAAATGTCAAAGGAGTGCACTGCTAATTCCTTCTCTAGAAAGGAACCACTTAGTATATTTACATTAAATGGAATAAAATAAAGGGCATGAAATTTTAAATCAGGAAGCAGAGGGACATCATGAGCAATGGGGGGAGGAGAAATAGAGATAGGTCATAGTACTGTTTCCCTGATGAGGACAGAAAAAGGGGCTCATCAGATAACTCTGAAGTCCCTTTCTAAGAAAAGGCATCCACAATATGGGTTGATGCTGTCTTCATTTTTATGCCTGAAATACACACTAAATAGCTCAAGTGACAGCTACAAAAAAACCCAATGGCTTCCAGATATTCTCCAATATTATCTCCATTGCTTTATTTATCTTCTCCTGCAATCTGTCAAGAGCTCAGTTTGTTGATTCTCTGAAATAAAACTAAACATGCACCTTTAAGCTTGTCTAGTATGAATAATCATTTCAATTAAAGCTAGCAAGATAACCTGATCTTCCAGAACTAACAGATCTATACACATCTGTATGTACAGGTATCCCATAGAGATACTGGCACAACAAAAAAAGATTAGAAATGTCAGGAATTCAGACACGACTTTCACCAAGCTAAACAGATCCTAGTGAAAATCTCCCCTTGAAGATTAAACCAGCACAGGTCAGTGTCTGCTGTAGCAAAAGTAGGTAAGGCTTACTAAAATACTTGCTTTTCATGAACTCCAGAGAGTTCAATTTTGATTTATAGGTGAGATTAAACAGAGATCTAGTGAGGTGAAAAAAGAAAACAGCATCTAGGAGAGAAGTATGGAACTCCCACAGTAATCCCAAGGATACTCCCTTTAAGGCATTCCTAAGGATGTCCTGAAGAATCCTTCAAAGAAAAGCAACTCTATCCCAGCTAAAACCAGCACAGCAAATAAAAACAGTTAATAACAACACAGTAGAATTTAGGTAAGGAAATAGATGCAAACACCATTGTGGCCACCCCTGTGGAGAAAAAGTGTCAGTTCAAAGAAAACAAGGACAAAATTGTTATTTTAAGTCAGAGCCAGAGAGATTTGATTAGGTTACATCAGGTGATTTACACCAACATTTTCATTACCCTTCAAATTGCTACTATACATCACCTATTTGCAGTGACAAACTGATAGACAATGCTAACTCAAAATGGAAAAGGAAACCATATTTTTAAACGACTTCAAGGTTAGGTAACTATCCAATGATTTAAAAATACTGAGCAAACACCTGAGACAGCATAAACTGCTATTCAAAGTCAAATCTCTATATGACTTTACATGAGAAATTATATCATTGAAATTTTACATTTTTGAACAAGAGCAAGGGAACAGAAAAACCTTAGAAAGTGCTAGATAAAACATAAAGGGATGCTCTACAATCTACCCACACACAGCCATTCAACAGCAATTCACTCTGCATTGAATAGCTCTGGTACCTCTGACTTGAGATTCTGAAACCACTAATGGTAAAAAAACTAGTGTCAAACTTCTTTCTCTTACACTATTTAAATATATGCACCATTTCATAAGATAAAAAGTAGCCTGCAA